CTCATTGGCGATAGCGGTTAGTTTTACTTTTTCTTTTTTACTCGTTTTGTTTTCAATTTTTTTAAATTTATGTACCCATTTTCAAGCAAATAAGATTAACAAAAAACAAAATTTGGAGCTTAGGGACGGGGACAAATTGGATATTTACTTGAAATTGGAGAGATTTAGTTAAGATGTTTTGTACCCAAGGGTGTGGCCTAGTGATCAATGAAGTTGGGTTGTGAACCTAAGGTCTCAGGTTCAAAACAAACACAGTAGGTGATTTTTTTCCATCTGTTCAAGCTTTGGTGGGTAAAGTTATCTGGTACCTGTTGTTCGTGGAGGTGCCAATATCCCGTGGTATTAATCGAGGTGCGCACATGCTTGCCCAGACACCACAGTTATAAAAAAAAAGTGGTATATAGTGAACAACGCACATAAAAATTGTTTGTCTGGAATAAGTTTATCTATGTATCCTACATTAGTAGAAACACTTTCTTTTCCCTTTTTCTGTTACTCTGTGCTTCACATTTTATATGATTGGACACGAAGTTTAAGATGTTACTTGACATATCGCTATGAATGATTATGTTAATTTGATTTATATATTTTTTTAATAATGAAGGTGGAAGAAATGTATTTAAGTAATGGTTGAAAGGTTAGTTTGATGCACAAAACATTATATATTCAAAATTTAAGTACTCTTTCATCTTTTGATGCCATCTTAGATAAAATGTTGTTACAATCTCTTAAAACATTAAAATATGGATTGGGATAGCGTTCTGTCAAAGTCAATTAAGAAAACTGGTATACTGCCCACCGCAGTATCTATGGGCGTTAATACTTTCACTATACTTCGTGGATCACTTAGATCTTGATGAATTTGGTGCTATTCATAAGCTTGACCAGCTTCTACCAAAATGCTTGATTTGTTAAATGATTTTGTAAGGCATTGCAAGATATTCGACGTTACATTCATAAAACTCCCTTTAATATTCACTCCGGCTCTCATGTATCTCCCCCCACAACACCAACACCACAATACCCCTTTCTCGTTTCCTTTTCATTTTCTCCCTTTTTCCACTATAACCAACACCGAACCCTATTCCACGACCACACCCCCTTCATGCCTCTTCTGTAACTGCATCTTCAATTACGAATTAAATCTTGAATTTTTAGGAAGTAGCTGAAACTTAAAAGTTCCCTCTTATGATAATTGTGGAATTAGTTGAAAATACAATTCTAGTAAGTTGTTATATTCAGAAAGTAACTAGGAGTACTATTATTTACAGGTTGAACTTCAGGTACTGCAGATTTTTTAGGGAAAAACTTTTCATAAGATAAAAATTTCCATGAGAGTATTTGTAGTTAATATATTTGTAACTAATTTAAGCCTAAGGGGAAAAAATTGAATATGAAAGTTAAGACCACGACCTTTTTTTAATACTTATTTTGGTAGTATTACAGTTAAAAATGTGAAATATATTAACGAGAGGAGTGAGGATGGTCATTTTGTCCAGATTTATCGAGGGAAATTGGGGATAAATATGGTCAAACTCTCATTCTAAATACATGAGGCTCACGGTTGAATTGGAAGGAAAATGTAACAGTTTCATTTCATTCATGATTGAGTAGGTTAGTTATTGATTTTCAAAATAGAGGGACGAAATTTGCCACAAAGGAAATATTTTCTATGTATAACATCTTTTATCAGTTCCTTGCACTTTATGATGGTTTTATTTGTAGGTGTGGGAAAGAGTTGTTTGCTTCTGAGGTTCTCAGATGGTTCCTTCACAACAAGTTTCATCACCACTATTGGGTTTGTATCCTCGACCATCCCTCCCTCCCTCCTCTGGAAGTACTAATTAGATTGTGTTTCAAACACAAAAAATGCATCTTTTGGGATTACCACAGTATTATGTCATAAGTTAGTTTTTTTATTTTGGACAAGGCTCTCTTTTTAGTCGAATAAAGGGCAGAATATTAAGAAACTGGTGAAGAAGTTACACATCAATCTTGATTGGTAGCAGGAAAAACCATGTTTGGCCAAAAAAGTAGAAAATTATGCTCTCTTATGCAGGAAGCTAGATGAACTGTCTAGTTTGGGAATCATCATTTTTGAAAAATCTAATAAATTGTATACCTTATGCACTATTTACTGCTTTCTCTCAACCTTTTCTCGGCCTTGCATTTTCCTCTTCTCCTCCAAATTTACAGGATTGCTCTGCTTTTACAGAATTGACTTTAAGATAAGAACAATTGAACTTGATGGAAAGCGGATTAAGTTACAAATTTGGGATACAGCTGGTCAGGAGCGTTTCCGCACTATCACGACAGGTATATCTAAATCTAGTGTGTATTCGGCAAATGTCATAGGTTCCTAACTTTTTGTAAGGGTGAAAAGAAACAAGATAAGTTTTTTTGGATCTTCAGATGTCCTAGAGTGCTAGCTTCTTGCACTGGTGAAAGGAAACAAGGGCTTCTTTTTTTGTAACTTTTGTCTTGAAAACTTGAGTTTTGAGCGATCACATGTACTGGCTGTATTTATTTGAAGCTTGTAGGTGGCTAATAGTGAAAGTCATGACATTTAAGTGGTACTCCCTCTGTCCCAATATATATGGCACCCTTCGTTTCTTGAGGGTCAATTTGGCTATTCTTTGAAGCTAAATTGTTTACTGGGTGGTTGTATGTGTGTATGTATGTGTGTATGTATGTATTTGAAGCTAAATTGGATTAGATCAACTCGATATTTCAAATTTAAAATTTAGACATTCAAAAACCATATGAAAAGTACTGTAAGTTGCAAATCTTCTCATGTCAGTATGATGAAAAATTATATTTTAAAATACTTGTTAAAGTTCACATAGTTTGGATTAGAGGTGTTTAACGGGTGGGCTGTACACAAAAAAGCCCGTCCGTTTAACGTTCAGGGCTGTTAGCGGGCTGAATTAGTGGGTTGTACTTTTTCGGGTTTTTTGGTCCGTTCTTGTTCGGGCTTAGCGGGCTAAACCGGGCCGGCTAATTTTTTTTTTTTTTTTAAAAGTAAATTTTGTTTTTCTTATTCAATGTTATTGATACTTAAGTGTTTGCAAACTTTTAAGGCTTAGAATTAAACTTTGAAGTTTTAAGTTTTAAATTTGAATTTTAAAATTGAAATTTGAAAGTGGCTACAAAAAATTATTTAATAAGACCAATAGGCAATATGTAAGGATCAAGCTCCGAAGGCTTTCATTTGATATTTTTATTGAATAATATATAATACTTCAAATTAAGTTGCAAGTTCTTAAGGGGTAGGCCGAAATGGCCATTTCTGCAAAAAAGGGCCGTTGGCCAACAGTCATTTTTGAATTTGACCGTTGGCAACGGTCCAGAAAATAAAATAAAATAAAAAGTTGTAACGGATACCGGGTTGAACCGGGCTGTAGCCCGTTAAAAACCCGTTAACGGGTTAGCGGGTTCCGGTGCACCAGTATAAAAAAACTGTTAGTTTGAAACCCGCTCCCTGCCCAACCCGTCCCAGCCCGCCCCCAATGCTACAGTACCGGACTGACCCGGGTTGTAAACGGGTCAGCCCGGCCCGATTAACAAGTATAGTTTGGATCGAGAAGTGGAAAGTGCCACATAAATTGGAACAGAGAGAGTACTTAGTTATGGTGCAAGCTAGGAGCAGACCTAGGATTTTCATTAAGGGGTCCAAGAAAAGCCAGGGAAATGGTGGTTATGGGATTGGAATACAAGATCTCATACAGATCTTGAATCTCCTTGAACATTGTTGTGGAGAGAATCCTTGTATCAAGGGGATTTAATAACATGTATATACACGTACTTCTATTTTTCAAAATGTACTATACCATATAACAATGAAACTTTTTGATGATGGGGACTCAGTTGATGACCCCCTTCGGCTACGTAAGTCCGCCCCTGTACAAACTTCTTGGACTAAAATTGCTAGGAGATTGAATTGAATTAGAAGGTCTGTTCAAATGTGAAGTTCATTTTTCATTTTCAATGTGTGCCTCTCAATCAAGTTTGAATTTTGTTGTTCACAGCGTATTATCGAGGAGCCATGGGTATTCTGCTGGTGTACGATGTCACGGACGAGTCATCTTTCAATAGTAAATTCTCTCACTATCTTGCTTTAGCGTCCTGCTTATGTCAAATGTTCTATCCTTCAGCACTATTTAGGTTTTCTTTTGCAGCAGAGATGTGATAATTTTGTTTCCAAATTTCAATCTTTAGCTGGTTTTATGGTCTGATTTGCAGCTTCATGCCCAAATCTAGCATTGGTGAGGCAGATTTAACTTATTATTTAATGTTTAACTGAATCATTCAGACATCAGGAACTGGATTCGCAACATAGAGCAGCATGCTTCTGACAATGTCAATAAGATTTTGGTTGGGAACAAGGCTGATATGGACGAAAGCAAAAGGGTAGGTTATTGTGATTCTGAAATTGTCACTGTTGGAGTTTCTCATCTTCCTGAATATGGCTAGTTCTATAATGGGCATTCACCTCTCTATGGAACCTTGGGCATCCATCCAACCTATGGAAATTTTACCTCCTCCCGTAGTCTGTTTGTATAACTAATTTGCTTGGTTTTTCTCACTCCTTTGATCAGGTACTTATTTTCTGATGCACAGTTTCCATTAGATGCTGTTGATATTATTCCTTTTTTCCTATCTAGGCTGTTCCAACTTCCAAGGGTCAAGCTCTTGCTGATGAATATGGCATTAAGTTCTTTGAAACAGTAAGTCCAAGTTTTTCTGATGTTGAAATTGAAATTTTCTGCCGGATGGAGTAAGTTCGGGTCGCTTATAAATGATAAAATCTGCTGCAGAGTGCAAAGACAAACATGAATGTGGAAGAAGTTTTCTTTTCAATTGCTAGGGATATCAAGCAAAGGCTTTCAGAATCTGATTCCAAGACTGAGGTACAGAGATATTTCTTTTCTTTATTCTATTGTTTCAATGGACGAAAGTTATCAACTTCTACTCAGCTCTAGAATGTGTTGTTATTATTACTTCATCTCGTGATGAATATGTTGTCTCGGTTTGTGCAGCCTCAGGCAATCAGGATCAACCAATCGGATCAGGCAGGAACTTCTGGTCAAGCTGCCCAAAAGTCTTCTTGCTGTGGTTCGTGAATGGAGCCAATCGTGTGGGAAGAACATTCGTTAGTTGCATTTGGATGTAAAAATTGGATGGGATGAAAAACTGATTCCTGTTAACTTCATTACCAAATATTTATTCGCCATCTGATGGCAAGCTTGATGTGTCAAAGGTTTACTGCTTTCGTTTTGAATCTATTGTCATACAGTTAACTACCCTGTGTTTGGATATCCTCCCAGAATTTCATTTATTTTTCGTCTTTTAAATATTGGAGCTCTTAGTTTTTGCTCCGAGTAGAATGTTAAAAAAGTAGAAACGTAATGCAGGAGTTTTACACATGCTTTTACCTTTCACTTGAATTCATAATCCTGCTCGTTCCAGCTGCATGTCCTGATGAAATAAAAAAGGCGATCGTTGAGCAAGGTAGTTAGCCTCGCCGATCAGAATGGCTCACCATAATAATCTTCATCTCCCTACACAATCATCTCTTTCAATTGACACTATGACTAGGTTAATTACACCGGAAAGTGATATCCCCCCCGAAATTAGCCCCAATGCAACTGTTACATTGGTTGCCAGGCATGGGGAGTGCCCCTACTATCATGCAAGCACCACCGGAAAAGGAGAAGGATGAATCGCAAGTAATGAAACCATGAATGCTTACAACGGCGTGGAAATTAACCTACTCAGCTGGGTCTCAAAGTACAAAGCAGACCATGGCAGAGGTAGTGAAAGGCAACAGAGCTCAAACATAAGGCATGCAACTGAAGTTCTACCCTCCGGTAGTGAATGATGGAGTGAAAATGGCCAAGTTAAACCCAAATGAGGTAGAACAACAATGCCAGCGATGGAAAACAACTTTGATTGGATACGTTCTAGGGGGAAATCCGTCGTTCAAAGAGATGCTCAAATTTGTCTATGGCGTTTGGAATCTAGTCACGACACATACGGTCTTTCTACATGACGACGGGTATTTCATTTTCAGATTTGAATCTGTGAAGGACAAAAACTTAATTGTGCAAAATGGCCCTTATACCTTCAATAGCAGACCTATGGTATTGAAGGATTGTGATCCGGATTTTCAGATTCAAAATGAATCTATGAGGATAGTTCCTGTATGGGTCAATTTACCCGGGCTGCCTGTTCAGTGTTGGGCCGAGGAAAACCTAGGTAGGATTGCTAGTCTGTTAGGCAAACCTATTTGCACTGATAAGCTGACAACAGAATGTGAAAGGATTTCATATGCTAGAATACTTGTTGAAATGGACATCACACAACCATTACCAGAGGAAATTCTCATAAAAAAGCCAGATGGGAGGAGCTGGATGCAGAGAGTAGATTTTGAATGGAAACCAAAGTTTTGCTTGGATTGCAACAAATTTGGTCATAGTACTGGTGAGTGTCAATAAGCAACACAACAGGATGAGGAACCAAAACAACATAAAAGAAGAAGAAAGAAGAGAACAAAAATGGAATGGAAACCAAAAGCAACATATGCAGGAAACAATAACACACTGATTCTGCCTCAGGAGGAACCTATACAACAAGAGACAATAGTAGAGATACATGTAACTAATAGAGGCAAACAGACAGTGGTTACTCAAGGATCAGCTGGCAAAACAAAGTATCAGGAGATCAATTATGAGGAACTAGCTAGAAGAAATGCATTTGTTCCCCTAACAATACTGGAAAGGCCATCAAATGAAAGACAACAGGGGCAGTCCTTTAGTAATGAAGAAGTCCAAAGGGCAAATGGGTGCAATCCCATTAATCATAGTCCTCCATGATTGTTGTGTCCTGGAATATAAGAGGACTGAATAAGTCCTATAAGCAACGAGAATTCAAAAAGTTCTTGTTGACGAATATGGTAGATATGATAGCTTGCCTAGATACTAGAGTTAAACAACAAATATCAAAGGCAATTCAGAGGAATATGGGTGCTGATTGGCAATTCAAAGATAGCTATGCTTATGCACCTAATGGTAGAATCTGGATAGGGTGGAAAGTAGCAAATATTCAAGTAACAATACTGGATGGCTCAGATAAGATGATACACTGCCTAGTTAAGGATAAGAATTCATGCTTTACCAGCTACATAACCTTTGTATATGGATTACATACTGTGCAACACATAATTTCACTCTGGAGAAGCTTGAGGAATATGCAAAGTAATGGACCTTGTCTCATAATAGGAGATTTTAATAGTGTGCTACATGTGGAGGACAGAGTGAATGGAATTCCAGTTCATCAAACAGAAATGACTGACTTTCAAAGCTGTCTTGATGATATTGGAGTGGGACAAATCACAAAAAGAGGATGCAGATTCTCATGGAGCAATAAGAGGGATGCAAAGATTAGAATTTATAGTCATAAAGACTGGGCTTTTGGGAATGATGATTGGTTCAATGAGTATAATGGGGTGGAGTCCATCTACATGCTACCAGGTTGCTCAGATCACACTCCTATAATGATAAATACTGATGTTGATAAGATAAAAGTGAAAAGGCCTTTTAGGTTATTATCTACAGTGATGCAACTACAAGAGTATAAAGAAGTAGTTCAGGCTACTTGGAGTCAACAAATTCAAGGTCATACAGTGTATTCAATTTGGAGGAAGTTGAAGTTAGTAGAGCTACAAACTAGAGGCCTTCAGCAGGAACACTCCTCAGTTGATCAAAAGCTAATCCAACTGAGAGACACATTGAAGGAGGTGCATGGGAAGCTCAATGAAGATTATTTCAATAATTTACTGATTGAAGAGGAAAGGAAGACCTTGTCACTTATAGAGAAATGGGAAGATATTTAGGAACAAATAATGAGGCAGAAGTCAAGGGCCACATGGATCAAACTAAGAGACTGCAACACTAAATACTTTCATGCTTATATGAGAGCCAGACAAGCAAGAAACAACGTTAGCTGTATCTATAATGAACAACAGAAAAAGATCACTGAGCCTAAGCAGATACAAAAGGAATTTACTTAGTTCTTTCAACAACTACTGGGTAAAGCAGCAGATGAATTGCTAGGAATTGATGTTAATATAGCAAGAAATGGTCCTTGTCTAACTCTGAATCAGCAACAACAACTGTTACAGCCTGTAACACCAAAAGAAATAAGTCAGATTTTGCAAAGTCTCCCTAGTGACAAGGCATATGGTATTGATGGATACCCTGCTGAATTCTTTAAAGAATTTTGGCCAATCATTGGAGGGGAAGTCACAGAAGTAGTACAAAAATTCTTTGAAACTGGCAGACTACTGAAAGAAATTAATTGCACTACAGTTACTTTGATCCCCAAAGTTCAGAATCCTACTTATGTGAAGGAGTTTAGGCCTATTGCTTGTTGTTCTACACTATACAAGATCATTGGTAAGGTACTTACAACTAGGCTTAAACTAGTTGTGGATTTATTGGTAGGACCTTCAAAATCCGCCTTCAAAGAAGGGAGAAACATCCTTGACAATGTTATAATGGCTCATGAACTGATTAAAGGGTACACTCAAAAGACAGTTTCTCCTAGATGCATGATTAAGGTGGATATCAGAAAAGCATATGACTCAGTCGAATGGAGTTTCTTGAGATCAATACTGCTTGAGTTTGGGATACCATATAATATGGTAACATTAATCTTGGAGTGTGTAATTGGACTAACTGACAAATTTGAAGCAAGGAAGGGGCTAAGGCAGGGAGACTCAATGTCTCCATATATGTTTGTGCTGGCAATGGAGTACCTGATCAGATCTTTGAAGACACTCATTCAGAATCCAGACTTTAACTTCCATCCTAAATGTGCAAGATTACAAGTCCTACACATTTGCTTTGAAGATGATCTACTGATGTGTTGTAGAGCAGATGAAGTATCCATGAAGATAATGATGGGAGTTTTTGATCACTTTTCTACTGTTTATGGGCTACAAGCAAATCTGGAAAAGAGTTCACTATATATAGAAGGAGTGCCTATGGACTTCAAAGATAAAATGCTAGCAGAGTTACATTTAACAGTAGGCAATCTACCATTTAAGTACTTGGGAGTTCCTCTATCCACAAAGAAACTCACTATTCATCAATGCATGCCACTAATTGAGAAGATTGTGGATAGGATCAGAAGCTGGACATCAAAGTTCATGTCCTATGCTGGAAGATTACAACTCATTAAGAGTGTCCTGTTTGAAATGCAGACCTATTGGGCACATATATTCCTTATCCTAAAGAAAGTTATTAAGCTTGTCAATAGTATCTGCATGAGCTACTTGTGGACTGGAAGACATGATAATGCTCACAGAGCTCCTATTGCTTGGGAAACACTCTGCAAACCAAGAGTTGTTGAGGGTCTGAATATTATCAACTATGAGATATGGAATAAGGCTGCTTTGACTAAACTCCTATGGTCTATAATGGCAAAGAAGGATAAACTATGGATTAGATAGATCCACAGTCATTACATAAAATAGAAGGATATTACTACCATGGATACTCCAAAGCAGGCTAGTTGGTTGATAAGGAAACTATTCACTGCGAGAGAATGGTGGGATACTGACTTAACAGTCATAGAGTCTTTTGCTCTGAATAGAAAATTTAGTATTAAGAAGTCCTATCTACATGCTCTTCCAATGTAACCTAAAGTTCAATGAAAATCACTAGTCATGTTGACTGGAATTCTGCCAAAGCATCAATTCATTTTATAGATGGCAATACAAAGAAGGCTGGCTACTGTTGACAAATTGGCAAAGTGGGGAATTCAGGTGTCTCAATCATGTGTATTGTGTGAAAGAGATATAGAAGAAGCACATGATCACTTGTTTTTTGAATGTCCATACTCACAAAGCTTATGGAAAGGAATGGTAGGATGGCTAACATATCAAAGAAATGTTGCAAACTGGGAAGCTGAGGTGAAGTGGTTATTTGCCAATGCTAATAATAGGAACCCAAGAAAGACAATCCTAGGAGTGGTGTTTGCAGCAGCAATGTACCATATCTAGATGGAACGCAATGATAGAAGATTTCAGAACCAGAAAAGAGAGGCCAAAGACAGAGCTAAAGACATTACTATACAAGTGTACCTAACAGGGCAACAGAAATGTAACTGGAAACCTATATTGATCACATTGAATAGTTATCCTAATTGTAAACCATAACAAATAGGATAGAAGATCCACGATTGTTAGTAGTGGTCTTGTTAGACAACCTCTTGGTTGTATAGCTTCTTGTTTTATTGGCTTAGTCATGAGACCTGTTACTGGAGTTCAAAAGTGCAGGTGATGTAAATTGAAAAACTGGTTGCAATAAAAAATTTCTTTCGACCAAAAAAAAGATAAATGACAACAGAAACAAAAGAAAAAGTTGAAAGCGTTTAAATGTAGTCAATTTAAGAAATATACTATGCTCTACAAATAAAATAGAAAAAGAAACAATTTAAAAGAAATTAAATTTAAAAATAAGAAGGAAATAAAGTTTGGTGTGCCTTTGACAATGTATGGCTTCCCATATCACTCTGTCGCCCAACACGCACAAGAAAAGACCATTACATGGGGCAGTTTATTTTGAAAAAGATGGATGTTGAATAAAAAGAAAAACGATAAAAATAAAAGGTAAAGCTTCGTAAGACCGTTATATTGGTGGATTTAAAGTTTCTATTAAAACTTTTTTATCTTAATGTAAACAATAACAATATTATCAAAGGCACCACCTGTAGAATATGGCCCACGTGTGGCTTATGAAATATTTTGGTTTAATAAATATATATTTTCTTAAATTAGTATTTGGATAAAATTAGGGAAAGTTAATTATGGTTATAATTCTCCACTAATCTACTTTGATGGAAAGTGTGATGGTCCCCCTCTCTCTGCCTATTAAAAGAAGAATAATGTAACTCCATCACACTCTATTCTGAAAAGAACACAGAAAAAGGAAAAGAGAGAGAAATACTTATTTTTCAAGAATAACAACGCTAAAGAAGGTTTCCGCTCAATATCATCCAGAGAACATATCATGAATTCGGTTAAGTTTTCTTGATTTAAATTATTGTGTATGTATTTTGTGAGAAAATCATATAGTTCCACGATTCTAAATAATTGATAGGATTTTTATATAGATTGTTTATGAACCACAATCTAGAACATGAAAAATTCTTACATGTGGTATCAGGAGCGCAATGTATGTGAACTTAAGATTTTCCATTAAAATTAATGTTTTCTTTACGACTGACTATGCGACTTGGTTGTTTCGGATATTGATTGAATTAAAAAGTTTTCGAAGGTTCATAAGATTCTGCAAAGGACAATTAATTTACATGTCCATTATGTTTTCCATTTTTGATGATTAATGTTTAAAGATTGCCCATTTTCATCCATATAATGGGGAACATAATCTTTGTGGATCCTTTAACGTTGAGGCTTTTAACTTGTAACGTT